TGGCTTTCCTTAAACTAAGATTTAGAATTTATATTTGAGAGTTTCTGATTGCTGTCATTTTTCATTTCAAGTCATTTCTTTTATGCGGGAATGTGCACATGTGTGTTGACACTGACACGTGTCGTATTACTAATTAAACCCGGATACCACGTCAATGAATGTTGAATCGACAGCATTTCCGAAAAATTAGACATACTAAAATGTTTGCCTATTGAGAGGATGGCACTGGGTGGAAGTTTCAGATAGATTGTTTTGTTAATCATGATCTACGAGTTGCTATTGGTGTGGATTAAAAAAATATTATATTATTATTTTTCCTTTTTAAACAATTTACTTTTTCCAACCTGAAACAGAAAAAAACAATCGAACAAAAACTTTTTTCGCCCATATGCGATTTCATTTATCGTTTGTAATTTCATTGCTCACGCAGAGACCTGTGGATTCGAATCCGCCGACATGTGTGGATACACCAATCATCCGGAAAATGATTTCGACTGGGAAGACATCCAGGCCATTGATCATAAACAAGGACCCGGATATGACGTCACTACAGGATCACCATCAGGTGAATATCTCCCTGCACACTGATTGCTTTTGAGATACATGTAACTGATTATAAACGCGTTCGAGAATAATGTATTCTAATGGCGGGTCATGATGCATACAAACAATATTTGGTTTTTAATTTAGGCTATTACATGTACATCGAATCGGATGCAGCAGAAGGTTTACAGTTAGGACGACTTATTTCACCGGAGTATCGCCATACCTACAATAGCTTGTCGTGTCTACGTTTCTGGTACCACATGCAAGGTATACTTCCTGGGATTATGTTTTTATTGGTTTTCGCGAGAGAATTGTACATGGAACAAATTGTCAATTGTGATTACAACAGAGATTGTATGTGTATGTTTTTGCTCTTTAAACATCTCCCCACAAATGATGCTAATAATTATTAATTGTAGCCATCTGACTGTAACTTTGACTGGTTTCTTGAAAGCAGCGCAATCACGTCATTTTATAATAAGAAAATACCAGCATGCTGCGGCTTTTAAACTGGCCAATGAACTACCTCATGGAATGTTACTATGAATGTCTTTCGGAACAGAACCGTGTGGCATTGTATCGACTCTCGGGATATTAAAGCGGAGGTGTCGTCGTCTGCGCATGCGGCGGGAAGCTATATCGTGTCGTTGTTTTCAAACAAGCGTCTACCAATGAGCCTTTGCGTTTTAGCATGCGTTGTTATTGTCGCTTGGGACTCCCACGCGCGAGCAGCTGACGACGCCTCCACTTTAATATAATTAAAGTCGGAGGAGTCGTCACCTGCGCATGCGCCAGATGGCCATAGCGTGTCATTGTTTACAAACAAGCGTCTGCCCATGAGCCTTTGCGTTTTTAAGCGTGTGTTGTTGTCGTCGCTTGGGACTCAATTCCCGTGCGCGCGCAGGTGACGACCCTCCCGCTTTAAAATGTGCGGGATTCATATACATGACGTTTTTCGAACACGCTGTTTGTCATGTTATCATATGTATAAGTAAGTGACGCAGAATATCGAATATTTGAATCTACCCAGGGGACGACGGATCCACTTTAAATGTGTATCAAGCACCATCGAACTCAACTACTGGTAACCTCACTAAAATCTACAGCACGATGTATGACCAGGGTGCCTTCTGGCACGTTGCTGCAGTCCAATACAGAAGTTACGGTAACCACCGTATTGTATTTGAAGGAACAACACACGAAAGCGGAATGGATTTCGATGTTTCTTTAGACGAAGTACTCATTAAAGAAGGACATTGTAGCGGCGCTCAAGGTGTGTATTAGAAATTGTAAACAATGAAATGTGTATAACTATCACGTACTTTGCTCACCTGTTTCTTGATTTAAGTGTATGGCAGTGTTGCGAAAGGTTGTCACCAGATTTATGTGCAAAAAAAACAAAAACGCTATGCATCGGAAAATTCGTGACTCCCCATCAAGCAACTCTTTATAGTATTATGGTTTCAGGTATCGACATCTGTCAATTAATCGTAAGAGGAGGGAGGCGGAGGGTAATGTGTTTACACGGACTGGCCAGATAACAGCCTATTTATTTAAACAATTTGTGCAAGTTACATTCTTCATTGACCCTTAATCGTTTTATTTGCTATCATGTGCATTTGCGTTGGTATTTAGGGAAGAAACATTGTTATTACTGGGACGATCGAGCTAGTACCAGAGCAATAAAGCCAAACGAATACAGCATCATGTAAAAACAATACACATCTAAATGAACCTATTTTAATTTAGCCGCAAGCAGTAACAACTGAAATCCAGCACATGCACATTAAATAATTATATTATCTTTGACTGGCTTCACTAATAATCTTCTTAGTTTAAATCATAATCCAATGCATTTCATCAACACACATTGTCAAACAACAAATTACAAGTTTTCATCCAAATATCATCTTTAATTGTAGATCATTGTGAAACAGTATTAGTTATTTCAACGTGTTTAACCTTGCAGCCACGTGTAATTTTGAAGTTGATCAGTGTACTTGGATGAACCTTCGTCACGGTGAAGACGACTTTGACTGGTTACGATACACGGGTGCCTCGTCTGCCCTTTCTGATTTGACTGGGCCCCAGAAAGATCACACTACTGACTCAGAAAACGGTGAGTTTCATTGTCCGTCCATATGCAGATTGCTATAGATATTGTATCAGCAATGTACATGCGAGTTGAAGTTACTGTATTGATGTATTGTGAATAAATATGTAAAACCCATATGGTTTCCCTAAAACACACTATAATATTCATGAAATGTGACATAATTCGATATATGTACGCAAAAAAAATAATATTTGTAAAAACACTGATGTACACTGAAATTCGAATGTAAAAATATACTTGAACACAATTGTTATGTATTGTCTAGGTTGGTACATGTACCTGGAGAGTGCTCCGCCAGGAGATCGTTACGATATTGGTCGTATGGTGTCCGATGTTTTTATGCCAGGAGAAGACCGGTGCTTTCAGCTGTGGAATTTTATGTTTGGTGCATTCGAAGCACCTGGAACCATCCGGGTAAGTATATTAAATAATCGAAGGTATATCGTCATATGTGTGTTTTTTTATGTTTCGTGATTATGACAGCTCATGTAGCCACGTAATGACCATCGAGATTATTGTAGTTTTATTATCACGCGACGCCTATGTTTTGTTTAACGTTGGTAGGTTCTTGCTGAGTTCACCGACGGATCAGGGGAAGTCTTACTATGGAGCAAGACTGGTAACCAGGGAGACCAATGGTTTGAAGGACTTGCACAGATGCCAACTAATATGGCTTTCAGAGTAAGATAAACTTTTTCAAAATGTGGTTTTATTTTCGGCCATTGAAAATAAAAAAAAGATATGGTTTATGCAACAAGTTTAGGAGCAGACCTCCACCATCTACAGCCAATGTACCCGGATACTACAGTTGTATACACTGATCAAATCTATGGGAGTAGTATTGATTACTATCATACACGAAAACAACGTTGCCATTCATATGTGCCCGCGCTAACATATTTTAGAATTGTCTCAATTTTATTTTGTAATTTGTGTTTAAAATTTTCGTAACAATAATCGAACGCTACCTTCCGTTCTTTACATCTGACGTGACAAAAGATGAAATTTAATAAAAATACAGAATGTGATATACAATAAAGAATATTGTTTTGGAATCATAGAAGTAGATCGCTGTTAAGTTTTTCAAACTATTCACTTCTACCGAAAGATGGTATCACCTCTCATGGATTATGCTACTTTTACATTGTCACAATATCACATATACACGCAGGTGCAATAAAAAACTGTCACTTGTGTTCAAGACAAATGTTATCATAGATTCTGACCCCGGGTTGGCATGACCACTTTTTTTTTCATTTGCTGAGTTACATAAAACACTAATAACCATCTGCAAAATTATAATCACAAAAAATACAGCTGAATTTAAGTAGAATCTGACTAATTTAATAATTATCTGTTACGTTCTTCAAACTTTTATTATAGTTATATAATATAAGTTAATGCCAAAAATGCGAACACAAATTTGGTTCACAGAGAAATTGTTTAACAATGGCACTAGAAACGGACAGAATTTGTGCATTTTTGTGCAATTTTTTATGGTGACATTATTTCTTCATGTCGCAAAGTGTTCATAGGGGCCACATTTAAAAATTGAAAAATAGTATATTTTTAATGTATGAATTCTAATACGTTTGAACAATTAAATGTCATCAGTTTCTAGTGTGATCTTTGTATGTGCTGTAACCTGCCCAGTACGATGGAAATTTAAATCCAGCTTAACCTACCACAATATATTTATTTATTCATATTCATATGTTAATACTTGTATTTGGATTGTTTATCCAAGGTAGCCATTGAAGGGGAATTGGATAAATTGGGCGCAGGTGACCTTGCTGTGGATGATACCTTTATGCATGACGGACTGTGTTCGGACAAACCCGGTGAAGAGGATTTCGTCTGTCACGATGATTCCACCAGAGAATTAGATGCATCACTCAGATGTAACTGGGTGCTAGACTGTGAGGACGGCAGTGATGAAGTATATTGCGGTAAGATCATCGTTGAAATACGCTTCATTGAAGATCCCTGAAAGAAAATTATTGGCTGTGCCCATCGCAGTTTTTAAGATAAATTTTCTAACGTAATGGAGTATTTCGAAACATTTGTATTTTTTGAATGCGAATGCATTGATAATCAACCCAGTGGTTTTGGTTAAAGCGGGGGAGTCGTCACTTGCGCATGCGTCAGATGGCCATAGCGTGTTAATGTTTACAAACAAGCGTCCACACATGAGTCCTTTGCGTTTTAGCGTGTGTTGTTATTCATCACTTGGGACTCAATTCACTCGCGTGCGCAGGTGACGACTCTCCCGCTTTAAAGTTTCACATACGTTTGGTGAACTAGTAAATCAGATGTG